ACAGACTAGCTGGTGAACATAGTGGAGCACTAAAGCATGCAGCAAAAAAGCAAAAAGTGTTGGTAGAGAACAAATATTGGAAACCAGAAACCAGAAACCAGAGTACAAATGAACTCTAGTGTTACTCTTTGTCCTCCTTGCTGGATGTGTTACGCAAAAAGTTTGCTATCACGTTTGCTGTTATAACTTTATATGGTGATAAAATGTAAATGTTGTGATTACAGTTTGTGGCCAAAATGATCTAATGCTTACACAAACTCTTATACAGTTGGAATCATGCCTTTCCAAATAGTGTCTATGGCCCACATTTCCTCCTAGATATCCGAGAGTATCAGTGATTTTTTACCTGTGGCATTAGGGTTGTGATGCCACAATAAATTGATAGTACATAAGACATCATAAGAAAAAACTAAAAGAATGCAAGTACACAGACAAAAGATGAATAAGAGAACATTTTAAGGTTGCCACTTCCACAAATGTCCTTTTTTTTTCAATTAAGCAAAAATTTGAATCACAACTGGACACAACTCATTTTTTATTAAAACAGAACCTTTATACAGACCTTAAAAAATTCTATCTTTTGTTACCTTCTGACTTTCACAAGCAAGAAAATGAGGGATACAAGATGTTAACCAGCTATTGGTGACATAATAGCCATGTTCAAAACAAACACATATTTCCTCATTTTCCTATTAGAGCAGCGAGAAACTAAGAAGGGCAAGACGCTGCCACAAACTTTCCTTCCTGAAATGTAAAGGCTGTTTCAGGGTAGTTACTCTTGCTCAGGAGTATGGCACTGTTACAATGACCACAGTGTTGGTCTTGTCCTGTGCTGAACAGAGCTGAGTTCACAGGCTGAAACAGACTCAGCACTGTGTCATTTCCTCCATGCTGCAGACGTCACACTGTAAAGCATGTACCATACCCAAGCCCACCACTCCCATGATGAAATCATCCAGTACATGCAAACCCTTCTTTCTTTCCCACCTAACTTTTTACTGCTTAAATGTGTCTTAATGCTGCATGTAAAACTAAAGTTGGAGAAATATTGAATACATATATATATATACGTATGGCATACATGTTTCAAATGTCTTTCTTTTTGAATTTATGTTAAAAAAACAACACACACTAGAATCCCTATAACAAATGCAGTCAACTACATTGACTTGAGCAGCTGTTGTTCAGTTCCCACATGGGTTGCCACATGTGTTTGAAACTTAATGGTAACATACTGTGTGCCCTTTGCTCCATCTCATCATTCATCATAGTCTCACTTCCTCTTTCATCTCGTCCTCACCATGTACACCCCAGCATGAAGTCATTCTTGCAGCTAAGTTTAAACTAAGTTAATGGCTGTTGTTGCTCTGAGTCTTCAGGAAGCTCTCCTAAGATGAGTTCGAGAGAATTATGACAGCAGGAACCAAGCAAGCTTGTGTGAAACTCACACAGGGTTATATCAGGACATCTGCTCTATCGTAACCTCTGGTAGGAGCATGGTACAAAGTTCTGCTTAGACAACATTCAAGCCACTACATTTAAGCATGAAGCACTGTTATGTATAGTGCCTTAGGGTATTAACATGCATTTCTGCTGTCCGAGAATAGCATTTGGCTCATTTGGTCTAAAGACTTCCGTGCATTCCAAAAGTATTCAAGCAGACAGCTAGGTCAACATGTGCTGAAATTCCTTACGTTCCTTGTTACGCTTCATATATCAGTTCACTTGAGCTGTGTGGCTGACTGAAGCATAGATCATCTCATCTGCATGGCACTGTTATTCATACATATGCACTCAAGCATTCCATCCTTAGCTCCTTAACAAAGCATCAACTAGTTAGGTTAGTCTTCAGCCTTTACCTCTGATCCTTTATCCGTTATTCAGTTGTAAGGACCTCACAGTCAGCAAAACATTCACTGTTATACAGAAATGTAATATAAATATATGGCCAGTCAGTGTGTGGTTTTTGTGCCCAGCCCAGCCTTCTGGGCCCTTGGTAAAGCGTGGGTGCTGCATTTGAAGGCCACACCCATGTGCGTCTTTTATTAAAAAACTTTGTTCCCCCGGTTGGTTCACTCCCTCAGCCAGCACAAATCAGTGCTGCTTTCAGCTAATCCCACAAACTCCTCTCTCCTCTCCTTGTCCTCCTTTTCTCTTCTGTCGGGAGAGATTCCCCCCCTTTCCATGTTCCATGCTGATACAGTGCAGAAACAAGTGAGTGACAGGGAGAGACAAGCTGAGGCAGAGAAGCGAGGAGGGAGAAATCTGCTCCTGTGTTGTTGAGCAGCAAATCTCTGTGAAAGGAAATCCTCCCCTGGCACAAAGAGAGCTCCATCTTTTGTGCAAGGAAGCACTTGAGGCCTTTTCTTGTTGCGGTGGTACCGGCCCCCCTCACACAATCCCTCCCCCGTTGTGCCTTTCCCCACGGTTCTCACCCCTTTCATTGTTTTCCCCCTTTGCTTTGTTACTCATCTGTCCCTGAATTTTTTCTAAAAGGCTTCCACAGCCAGCAAAAAATACTTTAAAATTATAAAAGAAGTGGTTCTACAACTTTACCCAAAGTGAGCTGTCAAAACAGACCTGCCTGCTATAGCAAAACCGCTTTCTGGCCCTGGAGAATTGCCATGGTAACCATACAACCAGCTGTTCTGAAGGCTCTCAGGACAAAGCTTCCCCATGCTGCGCTGGGTCCTACCCATGAAGTATCACTTTTAGGAAACATTTTACAACTCCATCGTGGTCCAAAGTGATCCTGCTGTGTTTAAGCTGAGAGATAAAGAGCTTAGTAAAAGTTGTGAGTCTTACCATCAGAGCTGACAGTATCTTGATGATCAGGGTAGTCCTGTCCAGTGTCCCTGTAATCCACCCAGTTAACCCCCTCTAGACTGTCGTAGCTGGACTGAGCTTGATCCTTCACCGGTACCACTGTGAAGTGAGGCATGTTTTCATCACTCTCCTCTGCGTCTCTAGCTCAGACTTCACATAGCAGGCTAGCTGTTAGCCAGCCTCAGTTCAACTCCCACTAATGGCAACTACATTCCACTACACTGCGCTCACTTCCTCTGGAGGGTATTATCATACTCCCCGCCCACAAGCCAACCCCTCCTGGGCTTTTTGTGTGAACAGAAAGGGTATGGAGGTCTCGGGGATGCATTTGGAAAGACAATCACAGCTCCCCCAAGGGGAAGCAGTGACCTGTTGGGGCACAGCTTTGATTGAGGAGTGAGCGCTGTCATCCCTGAGTCATGTAGAGTGAGATGGTGAGAGTGTAAGCCCCTTTCTGCTGTCTGTGTCATAATGACAGCTAACAGAGTGAACCTTGTCTGTTCAAGGTTCAGACAGACAGTCCTCTGTGTATGTGGGCCTATCCCAAAACGCACACACACACACACACACAGCGACGTGGCAGTTTGGAAAATAATCAAACTTCATTGGTGACTGGGGAAGTACAGAATGGAAAAGAGAGGGAAGGGAAGACAGAAAAAAAGACAGTGTCAAAAGAGAAGAAACAGTAAATGATCCCAGCCCCCATTCCAACCGTTCAGACAGCTGTCATTTCAACCTTTGAACCTAAGGTCAATCAAAATGGATTTTATTTTGCCAACTTTTGCTAAATTATTCATTAAATGACAATAAATGAATGTTAATTACAATATATAATGAATTGTGATGGTCAACAGCTGTTAGGCTATGTTAAGCTATGAGGAAAGGCTCAGCAGTGAATTGCAGTAACATCCCTAACAGAAGGTAAAGTTTACCCCCCTCTTTCCAAGAATGGTAGCTCCTCTCAAACCATAAAAGCAGCAGATCAAAGACTAGTAAGGCTGTTATTAGAGGTCCTGTTAAAGACAGTTTGAGATCTTGGTACTTGGATTGTGTTTGGATTGCAGAGGCTTTGTTAGTGTGTCTTGGGTGATTTTTTTTTGCTGTTTTAGAAACAACTATGTTCTATTCGAAGAAGAAAAAAACCTTGGGGAATAATCTACGAAAGAGCTCATGCAAAATTTCCTCACTTGGCTGAGGTGCTGTAAGGACACTCACATTCTTTATATTCTTTATTCTTAAATTGGATCCCCATTAGCTTCCATAAAGTGATCGCTAGTCTTTTTGAGGTTGACACAAAAACAATAGTGGTAAAAACAATCAACAATTTAAAATCACAGTGTATCCCTTGCTGGACAGGTCGCCTAAAAAACAAACAAAATTGGGGCATAAATTAACAGTATACCCACTTACCAGGCACCACTACACCACTGCTTTACATAGTTGCAATAACACGTCATCATCTCACAGGAAATTGTAGCAACCTAAAACTCTATTTTGAAAGTTAATTAAATTTAAAAAAAGAGACTTAAAAGATGATTAATTCCTATAGAATGGTCTCTGTAACATCTGTAAATCTGTCAGCTGCTCAATGTTGGTATGTAAATCTAGAAATAGCCTTTATTTGTCTTAGGGCAGTAAAACTTCTTTAGAAATACATTTTTAGACTATAGAACTATTTCTACAAGTTTTCTCCCCTTTTTTTTTCTCAAATGTAGCCCTTTGTAAATATCAGGATTCTTCAATAATTGGTACGTTTGAACTTCTATAGCCATGTCCCACAATACAGCATATTGCCATCTTCTCTCTCCTTTCCCCAGACAGTCTTTGACATAGAAATAAGTCATTTCTTTTCCTGACTGACTTCCTGGCTTGGCAAAGTAATACACAAGAGGCCATCAACCATATAAGGTTATTGCCTAGATTGACTAACCCATGCAGCTGTGTACAAGTGAGGGTCAGTGAGCAGCAGGCAGGGAGGCAGGGCCTGACACACTCTTTTCTTCCACCACAATTACTCAGTCTTGTGGAAAGACATGTAAGCAGGAGGGGCATGTCCCAGGAAACATGAGGCCCAAGAGGGTCAGCTTGTTTACAGGATAGAAAGAGACTTCTGGTGGTAGAGGTACTGAGGGGACATTTGTTCTGGGCCGGCCCTTCATCATGTCTGAGCCTACCTGGTATGGTCAGCGGTTCCAGTTCTGGTCAGGTCATGCCTGTCACTCCGTGCCAAGATGGAGTTGCTGTACTGTAGTTATGACCCTGTACATTTCTTTTAGCAACTTAAAGAGCAAAACAGCAATTGATTAGCTTATGTTAAAGTATGTAAGCAACCTGTTTCCCACCAGACACCAAACACGGGTGCTGTGTTTTCTCTTGGTGCTACTGTTACAGTTCATACTTCTCTGACTTGTGATTATGATTATCTCCCACTAGATGGCAGCCTTATACCTCAAACATTTAGTCTTCTCAGTCGTTATATGAAAATGTAATTGATCTACCTCTAGGTGTCAGACTTTTAATAGCTAACAAAAATATAGCAGTTACTTATTATTCCCAGACAACCGTCCAATATTTAATTAGATTAATAACATTTTATAATAGCCAATCTCACAAGAGATGACAGAGGACATTTAATCCTGAAAAGAATTCCCTTAAAGGCACTAAATAAATGACAGAATATTCTCTAACAGAATTGAATAAGCCTATATAAGTATATAGTTGGTCTTAAGTCAAAGCATACTCAAGGACATGGAGACATCGTTGTCATTGTCAAAGACTAGGGAAAACTGTGATGTAAAATAATCACCTTTTTGTGCATCTCTCAGATTTTATTTCAACCATCTTTTCCCACAGTCGCCCTACCTTCTAAAAATGTCATGAGATAAAGAACAACTTTAAAGACTATTGTCTGAAAGAGGGGATTTCTCTGCATTTTGAATGAATGGTACTTAACTGCATGGCTAAACCTAATTGCTTGTGAAAGCTAAGCACCCCTTGTCTTTCTACCAGTGACATTGATTAGGATTTTCTAATACTGTGCCCGAGGGGACTTAAGTCGATCCAATTACCTTTGGCTGCCATCGTTAGCTTGACATGGCCCAAGGGGCCCTTTCACTTTGTCTCTAGGACTGAAGATCTGCCACTGCGGACAATGAATGCCATGCAGGCTTTGGTGACTGAAATGTTGCCCATGCTATTACATTGCCTCCAAAGTAGCTTTGCCAGTCCATACAACTAGACTGAGAACAACCTTTGGTGGCTTCAGCCTCTGTCCTTCCATGGGTTTCTGTCGGACAATGGTGATAACTACCATTCTCGCTATTACAAAGAGATATTCAGTTTGCCAATGGGGTATAATTGGGCTCTCTAATGATGGCTTAATAAACTGCCTTTATACTTATAGTTATACTTACTTTTGTGTCCCATTACATCATCTGCTGTACATATCCAATCTGTAAATTTGAAAGGTATGGATCTTTAACCTGATTGATGAGGTCACAGTATTTCATAGCAAGAGCCTTTCCTCCTCATTTACCTCCTCAAAACTCAGATACAGAATATTACATTCATTTGATTGGATGGGGCAGTGTAGAAGCTGTATCTCATGTGCAGGGGTGGCTCTAGAGAAATATTCATGGGAAGGCAAGAAGGTGGTATGGAGACTGGCAGAAATATGCTGATTTAATTGCAAACAAGAACTTATATAAATATCTGCTTGGAAAGCCCACAAAGATATTCAAACAAACATTACATTATTGTGGAACTTCAGTAAAGCATTGATTAGTAAACCAAATTGTTCCATTTTCAAATCTTCAAACATTTTTCCAAATACATACAGTATCTTTTTTCATTGAACTTTATCACTTAGTCTAAAATATGGCCATAACAGCTCAATTATTTTAATTAGGGGAGATGAGGAGTTTAATTATAGTTTTTATGATGTTATTTTCATATTACTTATTTTTAATTTTTAATGTATACATCTTACAGCATTTGACAACAAATTGGTGGCATTTATTAAGAGAGGTGTGTATCTACTCTGGTAGACATGTATTTATTTATTGTACTCAGGACGCATGCCAGTAATTAATTGGCCATTCGAGGCGCAAACGTGCATGCAACTAAGGCCTGATTTGTAGGCCTACCAAAAATGTGTTTGCTCTGTGAATATTCTTGGAAAGATAATAAAACTGCTGAAAATACTAACATTTCCTTAACTTAAAAGACACATAGGCAAACTGATAATCTGGTCGTGTCGTTCAGTCTAACAAAATGACAGAGATCGGCCAGGAGTGGCGTGTCCACCCTGAAGGTAAAGTCAGACAGACTGTTTGTAATGCTGCCGTCATTCTAACAAAATAAGTAATTGTGTTTGACTCGTGCTGTCGCGGACTTCAATGTCGAAGTCTTTAAAAGAGTGAAACAGCACCTCTCTGGCTTTCCAGTCGCAGTAAACGGCAGTCAGCTTGTGTGGTAAAAGATAGTACTGCAGCTACAGGGGGACGATGCCAGGGAGACAGGCCCCAGGTGAAGCCGGGTTCCCTTTGATAAATAACCTTATGCTACTGGGAACTGTGACCGCTCAGTGTACTGGGAATGCAGCGGGAAACCAGTCCACCGTGGCTTAGTTAGATAACCTACATCACTCACAAGAAAAGAGAAAGGTTAGCATGTTTTTCAGTATTGACAGTAATATTAGCACTTTTTTAAAGCCATAGTAGCCTACTTAGCTAGCAACACTGGAGGGTGTATGGGTTTCTTGAACCGTACACAATGACTGACTGAGGAGAAACTGATGGTAGGCAACCCATGCACTGAAACTGGACCTGCACCCCACTGGAAAAAAAGAGGACATGGTTGGAAAACTTGTGACAGGAGACAGTTGGCCAAAATATCAATGGAGTCCATTCTGGGAGGACTCAAGTCCAGTGGGAAATGATTTTATGTGGTTATTGAAGATGCTGCCACCATGAAGGACAGTGGTCTTCTTCTGGTAAGTGAGACATTCCCTCCTCCTCCTCCTCTCTGGAGTTTATCTTTCCTCAAATAAAATGGCCGCCGTGCCAGCCTGCGAACAGAACTGTACATTAGGCCTTTTTTAGAGAAGACATTTTCACGTCACAGGAGGAGAAAGCACAGCTGTAAATAATGAAATTAGTGATGGTTGAATTACATTTAGCTGCTTTGGTTTCAGGCTCCTGGTATAGGTGCATGTTGGCTTACTGTCACACTGTTGT